ACCAACCATCCTGGAAGTGGCAACTGTGTAGCACCCCAAGCAGGCCTCTGTAATGCCAGAGCTGTGTTAGGCCCTAGTTTTCCTCTCAGTTCCTGCTTTCAAACAATTCTTCCACAAACACTTCTTCCACAAATACTTAAAATAAACCGTCTCTTCCCCCCCGGCCCCTCCCCCAAGAAGTATTTTGAGAAGGAGAGAAAGCGGGAACCAAAAACATACACACAGTTTTCGTTCTGAGAGCCCCACGCCATGGGAGCAGTCCGCCAGCTCCCCCTTCAGCTCACTGTAGGGGACACGGCCACACCGCAGACACTGCCCGAGAAGCCCGCAGCAAACCTAAGGAAACCGCATGGCGCCGGGAAAATAGTGCTTTAACGTCCGTTTATAGAGACACCAGCCCCGTAGACCGCCTCAGCCGCTTGAGCCGCTGCCGCCACCTACAACGGTTGCTCGCCGTGCGCCTGCGCAGCACCGCCCAAGGGGCGGTCGCGTGCTCGGCGCGGGTGGCCGTTGGGATGGTGGTTGTCGAGCGTCGTTTCTGCGCTGCGTCTGGCGGCTCTGAAGAGAGAGGGCGGCGATGGTGAGCGGTTGCAGCCTCCTCCCAGGAAAAGCTTTGGTCCCGACAGCGCCTCGGCGCATTGTGCGGCCCTCCCTGCAGAGGGGGACTCGAGGCTTTTCTCCCCGTCAGGGTGGTAGAGGCCTAAAATTTATAGCTGTGTAGTAACAGGCAGCGTTTTTCATTTATGGGATCTTTGCAAATTAGTGATTTTGAAGCATCGGACCATAGGTATTAGTGCTATGAATTTGGCTGTGACACCAGTAGTCCTAACAGGACCAGGTGCCTAAGCACTTTATTATTCCGCTGCTGTTGTTAGTATTGCAAGGATGGATAATACATATGAGATATAAAGGGGGAGTGAGCAAGGCTATTGCTGGATGCTCTTCAATGCTAAGAAACCTTGTGTTCTTCCTCTAGATACTTTCTTAGTAAAGGACTCTGCTGCTCTGGAGAAATTGAAGGACTTCTGTAAAGAAGAGAAAGAAAAAACATATCCTTTTGAGCTTTTGCAGCTTTATATGCAGGTAGTATATATTAAAAGCATTTGTAGTCCTGCTTTAAAAAAGTCCACCATGTACAGTATAGGATTGGTTAGGGTGTAGTAGAGCAGCTATAGCTAAAAATTATTTCTATTTCTGCTTTTTTAATGTGTGCGGATTACAGAATTTTCACAAAGTACAGGCTCACTTTTGTTGTGAATTAGAAAGTAACCAAGAGTTGATAATAATTGCACAAGTATTTGAAGGAAAAGAAAAAGGTCTCAGAGTTTATTTTAATATTAATATTTTTAACTTATAACACTTTTGAAAACTAAATGTTATAGATTATCTTTAAAATTATAGTATTTCTGTAAACTCTAATGAGTTTGTACATTGCTGTATGTCACCCTCTGATTGTTTGCAGTGTGTTTTGCTTATGCTGCTTATTTTTACTTTTTGTTGGTGGGTTTTATTTTACATCATGTTTCTTCCTATTTTCATAGGCTGTCCTAGATATTACATATTTTGAGGAAAACCAGCTTGTAGATGAAGATTTTCCAGAAGACTATTCCTTACAAAAACTTAAAGAACTTATTTGTATTCTTTCAGAACCAGAAGACCTAATGAAAGAATGCAACATAAATGAAGTAATAACATTACTCAGAAAACTAATTATTTCATTGTTGCAAAAAGTGGTATTTGCATTTTTGATGAGCAAAATTTGACATCATCTGAAAAAAAGTCCGAGAAGAGTTTGGCCTTTGATTTGATTATTGTGGCAGTGTCAGTGCTCTAAGGGTGGAAATTTGCTCTTTGGTGCGCTACTTTAGTAGGAGGCATTTAGTGACTTCTTGAAAAAAAATTTGCTTTGATAACAGAAAATATTTTTAAGTTAATAAATCACATGTTTAAGAAAACAATTAAGTGCTTGAGTTCTGAATTACCTTTTTGCAGGTATATTTAGTGACACCCACTTACTGGCGATGATGTACAGCGGAGAAATGTGCTACTGGGGACTGAAGCACTGCACAGAGGGCAGGCCGGGAAGCCTCGAGACAGCAGACATGGCGCATGGCAGACAGCAGAGCGCAGCGCCGGACTTCCGAGGAGTGGGCACCAAGGCGCTGGAGACCTACGTGGCAGCCTGCGAAGGGCCCCTGAAAGGACAAGGCTGGAAGAGCGCCAGCGCGCGGCAGATGTTGGCCTTCCTG